TTTTAAAAATGCTTCTACAAACAAAGTTTCATCTGCAGATATGGTTTTGTTTAGGGATCTGTGCGTACGGACATCTGACTGCTAAGAAGTGATTGTGTTTCTCAGCAATAGTGTGCACCCTTAATTTACAGAGAAAAGAAGGTCCAGGAAAAATCTGTAGATGGAAAAATCTCCAGACAAGTTCCTTGTGCATTTTTCTTTTTTTCTACTTGTTAATTTGCACTTTTTGTTAGAAAATGTTAATTTACTATTTATTCAGGTTTTTTAAGGTATCTGATATTTTGATACTTAATTTCAATGATCTAAATATTCTTAAAAATTTTAAGTTTGTTGTCATTTGGAAGTGTGTAGGCCTTCTTGCATTACTATGCTGTTACATTATGATTATATATTCAGTGGCATAAAATGGTCTTTAAAATGACAATAATATCGCTTATCGCAATTATTTCTGGGGCAATATAATCGCACAACAAAAAGTTGTTATCGTGACAGGCCTAATATAGCCTTCATCTAGACATGCTAAATCTCCAGTTTAAACACCAGACTGACTGGCAGAGGGGGACGAGTACATTTTCTGAATGAGGCTGCGTACCAGACCTTCAAAATGGCATTGTGGGACAGGGCTTATGTGAACTCCAGGACGGTTAGCAAATGGCATGAAAGTAATCTGGTTTATTATGTGGAAGCCTATTATAGTATAATGCATTTTTCATTGCTGCTCATGTCTGCAGAAATTGCCTTCGCCGTGCATGTTAGGATAAATTTTTGCCAACAAAGGGAAAAAAAAGTGAACCAAACAGCACTTTCCATTTTTGGCATGTTCCCCTGAACGGTTACCTAGCTACAGTGGTAAACAGCTGCCTCTAGTACTCGTGGTGGTACTCATGTTGATAAAACAAATGCATTGTGGATGAGTCACATAATATGATATTAAAAAGACCTTTGGGGGGATGAGACTCAGGTTTGGACCAAACAAGCAAACCACATGTGAAAACAGCCTGGGACAAGCAGTTGACAGTCCCAGACAACAGAAATAGCCTTCAATGAATGGGCAAGGTCCAGATGCTTCAATTACAATTGATCTGATACTCACAATCTCAGTCCATACAGGATGTTAGAAGCAGTATCTCTTTATGTGTATGCCAATTAGGGCTGCACGATAAATATCGCACGATATTTAATGCGCATCTCGTCAGTAAAGCCGGTTCTGTAATCAGCGGTAAATCTCTACACGTGCGTGCTTTCACGTGGAGCAGCATTAACTACACAGAGCCGTTGTTCACAGACAAGCTGCGCAAAATATGATCGTATTTTGCGCACGTGTAGAGATTTACCGCTGATTACAGAACCGGCTTTACTGACGAGATGCGCATTAAATATCGTGCGATATTTATCGTGCAGCCCTAATGCCAATATCCTCTCAACATAGTTCTGCTGGTAGTGCACTGTACCTTGGTCTTCAGTGACGAATTTGTCAGGTTTAGTATCCTTCACCTCCGCAGTGACTGTGTCTGTTGAGGACTGCGGTACATCCGATGAGCTCTCTGCTACCGATGTGCAGGGCGACTGCTTTTCATCCAGCTCTTTCTCCATTCCTTCCTCATTGTCATCTTCCTCCTCTTCGAACTTGAGTCTCTTTGCTTCACGAGTCTCAGTGTTTGTAGCATTGTCATCTTCATGATGTTTACACTTCACTGGACCACCGTGTGAACCTTCTGCTTCTGACGCTGAAGGCTTACTAAAAAAAATAAAATAAAATAGACAAAAAAAACAAAACAGTTTTTAAACTCCAAATGCACATGTCTACAGACCTTGAAATCATAATTTGAGTTTTGTGGCTTTCATGCCAAGTTTTGAAGTCATCTATTTATAATTGAAGATTTTTTTGTTTCAGCTTTTTGTTCTATGAAGGGGACATTAAATACTGTCTTGGAATCTTTATAATGCCTTCATTTATTTTTTGTTACTTTCAAATGCCTTTTAAGTATAGATTTTGTTGTAACACACTTTGAAAATATTAGGAATTTAGATAAGTAAAATGGTTAAATGGGTAACTCTTTAAAATAAGGTTCATTAGTTAACATGAGCTAATAATGAACAATACTTCAACATCATTTATTAATCTTAGTTGATGTTAATTTCAGCATTTAATGCATTATTAAAATCACAAGTTGTGTCTGTTAACAATAATGCACAGTGAACTAACATGAACAAACAATGAACGACTATTTTCATCAACTAACATTCACAATAGTGTAATAAATGTATTGTTCATTGTTTGTTCATGTTAGTCATTCCATTAACTAATGTTAACAAATGACACCTTATTGTAAAGTGTTACCTAAATATGTAAAATAACAGCTGCAACTTTAACAAGCCTAATGAGTTCTTACAAAAATACAAAAAAAAAAAATCTTTCATCATTCATCAACAACAGGTCTAAATCTATTGAACAAGAGTATCACATCCTGGCATTTTGTACGTACTTGACTGTTCTGTCTGATTGCTCTGATGCTTGTTCTTTGCTTTCTGTGCTGTCAGGAAGGCCGTTGGTAGCTACACTGCTGGACAGGGAGAGTTTTGGTCTGTTCAGTGGCCTGTGTGTTCCTGGACCGTTCACATTTCTATCACAGACAATCAAAGACACATCAAGCCATCAGACAGTAAAATTAAGTCCAACAAGCCTCTCTTTACAGCGAACGCTAACATTTCAAACTGAATTGGTTTAGTGACCCATGAGGCTGATATCAAAGTTTCCACAATGCTGGTTAAAGTGATAAACTCACCTATCTGGAAACGCTGAAGTGTTACCAGGGAACATGACACCATTCATTCTGTTCACACAACCTGACCCTTTTTTCCTGTTAAAATAAAAGATGCATTAAAGAACAGATTTTGAACACATTACAAGCATCACTGAAAGCTGCCCACTCAGAAAACGGTCAAATAGAGCAGGAAAGAGTTGAACTCACTCTGAGGTAGGATACACACAACTGACCACCATCACATTCTGAAAATGAAAAAGATTTCATTTAGCTGAGCGGAGAGAGTTAATCTGCTTTAAGACCTTCAGAAAACAAGGCACAGATCAAATTCACTCCCAAAGTTTTGTTTGTTTATTTCCTTGAATGCAACATACCTTCTCCACACCCCTGAGGAACTTGTCTGTTCCTGCGTAGTTTCTTTTTGGCTCAGTAAGAAGCTCACAAAGACGCTGAATAGTGAAAGGAATCCTGAAAAAAAAAATAATAATTCAATTTAATTGAAATGCTTTCAAAAAGGGACTACGGAACAACTGTGGAATATGCATGTCGTCCCTTACCCGTTGTATCCATTGACGATTTTAAGAATCCTCTGCTTCATCTCCTCAAAGGGAATGTACTCAACGTTTGGATTGGCAGGTCCCCGTTGCTCTGGACATGAGTCCTTAAAATCATCCATCACTTTCTCCAGTTTGAAGAGGAAGTAACCTTTAATCTGAGACCACTGAATCCTGATGATGTAGAAAGCAATGATTTAAATGAAGATAAACATCATGAAATAGAAAAATCTGAAACTTCACATTTACATTTTATTGTAGGGATGCACCGAAATGAAAATTCTGGGCTGAAACCGAAACTTCTGGATGCACTTGGCCGAAAACCGAAACCGAAAATGCTTTGTAATGATTATTTAATATTTTGTAAGACTTTTTAATTTAACAATTTTAATGATACTGAATTTTAAAAACACTACATACTTTTTACTGACAGTAACACATTAACATTAGTTAACTACTTTAGTTAACATGAACGAATGAACAATACTACTTCAGCATTTATTAATCTTAGTTAATGTTAATTTCAACTTTTACTAATGCATTATTAAAATCAACAGTTGTGCTTGTTAACAGTTAATGCACTCTGAATTAACATGAACTAACAGTGAACTGTATTCTCATTAACTAACAGTAGGAAAGATTAATAAATACTGTTATAAATGTATTGTTCATGTTAGTTAATAGGCTACATTAACTAACACTAACTAATGGAACCTTATTGTAAAGTGTTGCCTTAATATTAATTGACACGTTATCAGAGAAGAGACATCCTTGCGAGGGGAAGTTAACGTTTGATGAAAAACTAAAAAAAGGGCACATTAAACAAAAAAATAAAGATAATGCACAGATTAATCATTTAGAATAAACCCTGCAATATTTCTTTAAAAAATCAGAACTGCCCATTTTGATTTGTTGTTTGAAGAAGCCCTATAGAAGCCCATTTTTTGCCTTAGGGGAGAGGAAAAAAATGTACTCATGACTTATCACACAATTCTGACTTTGAGTTATGTTATGGATGTAACGATTCACTCAACTCACGATTCGATTCACGATTTTTTTTTTGTTTTTTTTTACAAAATTAGATTTAAAACAAATTATAAATTAAATGTGTCCTTTTATTATTGCTTGGACAAAATGCTGCACATTTCTTTGTGAAATTGAAATATAACACTATAATAATATACTAATATAGCACTTGCATATTAT